AGTCGTTTCCAATGTCTCCGCGTCCCATGACGACGGTTCGAGTATCTCAAGCTCCTCAACCCTTAAAGATACAAATCCATCAAAAGCAAATACCACTACCAAAATTACTATCAACAGCTACGTCACAGAGACTAAAGCACAACAAGATGACACAGATCCGGCCGAGAAAGCTATTCTTACACTCATGCCTCCCACACATAGTCTTGCTTCGGAATGGTTGGATGGTTTGTTGATGTTATTGAACCAGGCGCCGATTACGAGTGAAACCAATAAACTTGTGAGCTTGGTTAGCGAGTATGGATTAAAGATTAGACTTTTGAATGTTAGGTTAGATGAAGGAAATGGGTATGGAGATCCCCAGGTGGGACAGGGTAAAGTGCCGAGTCGGGAGGGGTTAGATGAGGATTATTACTATGAGGTTTAATGGGGTGTGGATTGGAGTGTAGCGGGTGTTGCAAGTGGGATTGGGTGGCTGAATATACTGTATATCAATACGGAAAGGAGAGGACCTGATACAAATAAGCGAGGAGAGTGGAAGTAGCAGGTTTTTCTAACTTTTTCTTTTGGTATTTCTAGATAACGTGGTTTTTTTGTAATGATACCCTGGGCTGGTTTATTGGGATACCTTTTATGTATAATAGTCTCGTCTGGTTTAATATGGGATTTAGATATATGCATACCTAGGTATTGGTAGATTCTTAATCACGTTAACAGCCTTGCACTTGTAAATTTCTGAACATTCGATATTTCAGGACATGACAGAAATTGCTTCAAAAATTCGAGATTGCTATAACATGAAGCAATATACAAGAGATGAGAAAGTGTATGCTATAGGTATTTCTCCGTATCTCCACGGAGCACTACCCCTCACCTTCACAACTTTATCACTTTCTTTTTCGCCCATCTTTTTCACTAGTCACCAATACCCTTTTTAATCTCCTTTCCGCCTCTCCAAGTCCCACTTCCTAAGAACTCAAACCCGGCCCCCTTCCCTCAACAACCAAAAACAAAGTCCATTTCCCACCCACCAAGTTGCACTTCTCAAAAAACTCCACTTCACACTTTCAGTCCCGATATACGCAACCCAATACGCCAATCGGACACCCACATAGGACCATCCCACAGTCGCAATCGTGTCCTCGGAGACGCCTCTAAAAGAAGCAAAGAGTATTGCTGCTACAAAGATGGGGAAATTATCTAGAGCGTTTTGCTGGGCGGCTTCCCAGCGCAGTAGCATGTTGATGGTGGAGGGGGAGAGATCTTTGGGGGGGAAATTGACGAGATCTTGTCGTGGGGAGGCGTTGGAGGTCTTGTGGAGGATGCGCCGGGGGAGACGCGCGGATTGGAGGAGGTGGGAGAAGAGGAATTGGGTGGTTAGGATGGTGGGGATGGGGGAGACCATGGTTGGGTTTGGGGTTGGGGTTGAGGTTGAGGTTGAGGTTGTTGGGTAGGGAGTTTTTGATGGAGGGATTGTGGATGAGAGTTGTGTTGATACTGGTGATGTTGATGTTGAAGAAGACGAATCAAAATAGACGATTTGAATATGATGTAAGAATCTCGAATAAATCAAAGAATGACCTTGAAATCTCGGGGAAGCACACACTTAAGAAGATCCTTCATACCCCGGAAATTCATTAGCAATAGTTCTGTACACTGTACAGTAACTTTAAATTTCCGCCCACCAATGCAGAATGAATCCATACACATACATCCCCTGCGCCCTTGAACAAAAACGTTGTTCGACTTCCACTCGTCAGTTTCCCGTGGAGTAATTTCGGTGCATCGTGCCTACAAACCTTCTTTTGATATTTTGCAGCTTTTGCTTGCTTGGCTTGGGTTCTCCACCATCCATCCATCCATCCATCCGCTTACATTAATCCCGATCTTATCTGATAGTACACCTGCCTACACAAGTGTTGAAGGCCCAGCTCGAGAGAGATATATTGTTGAAAGCTACTGGAAAGGATAATTTCTAAACCAAACACGAGTAATGCGCTGAAACCAATTGCCAATTTATTATGCGCCAAGGAAATCCTCGATAGTCAAGAATTTGATTCAAGACGCTGCATCGTACAATCCCATTTCTCGGGCATCGGCGTCGGCGTCGGAATCTGGGCACGTTTGATGTTCGACAGACCCTAAGCTTTCTTCCAACAGTTTGAAACACAAATCTAGAGGCTAGTACCAAGTAGTATTTTGCGTCCACCTTCACCTCCTCTTCTCGTGATTTTTCGTCTTGTTTTTGCTACTTTTGTTGCATGTCTGTATTTTTGCCCAGCATTTACCAATCTTTTGTATGTGTTTGCGTTTTGATCTTGGATACCCGGCCGGCGTCTTGGGATTATCTTATTTGCCGGTCATTTCGGAGGTTTGAAGTTTTTTTTCTTTTTTTGCTTTTTCTTGATCGTCAAGGGGTAATCTTGGCGTTGGTGTTGAAAGTATATTGTTGTTTTCTTTGTCGGATTGCGAATATTGAGATACACTTGATATGGAGTATATATAAATGTATGTCTATATATATACCAGTCAATATACTCTGTATTATCAACCACCAGATCTAAAGCTAGTCCAACGATTTCCAATCCCCAGTTCCCAAAAAACACCATCTCTTCTTCCAAAATTCTCCATAATCTTGGGATCATCTCGGTACCGAGCACGGAGAAATAGCCAAGCAGCTCGTCCAACTCGGGTTTCTAAAGCTTTCCAAAAGTTTTTCCATGCAACACCAAGACACAGACTAGCATGTTAGGTTCTCTGGGCAAGAAAACAGATGTGCAACAAAAGCTCTTCCAACACTGATTCTCACTCTGATTATTCCCGAAAACTTATGTCCGAGGATCTTGGTCGCACACCAAGACATTGGCGAGGGACACCGAATTCTCTAGGTTCCTGGGCAAGTAGTTAGATGTGCAACAATGTGATTCAGTTGTTGAATAGTGCCCGCGATATCCGCGGTATACAGGAAGGGGTTTGGTATGACACCACGATATTGGCGAATATGTAGACCAAGAATCTGGGCGAGAAGAAAGATATGCAACGTTCCTTTTGAGGGTCAGATGAATCAGTGATAGTATGGTTGATTCTCTGGGCAAGATTGACGATATGCAACAACAAGACTCTTGACTGATAGATTCATCATGCTAGAGTATCATAAGAACTATGCTGTGTAAGAATAAGATTAAAATTCATGCAAAAAGAAACCATGGGTATACAAACCAAGACATTGTACCTCTGGGCATGAGATACGATACGCAACAAAAGTCCTCGAGTCTACAGACTGCGCACTCAGATATATCATTCATATTACCATGGTTAGTATCCTTGTGCCGCGGTGACGAAGCATCGGTATAAATATAGATATGTAACCAACCTCGACGTACAAACCAATGCACTCGATTCTCTCGGCATGAATTCCGACATGCAACAAAAGCGTCTGCATATCACTCTCACCACACCAAGATACCCAAGTGTTATACCGCATTCCGCCGAGTTTCTTGTGCACACTGGGCACGAAAACCGATATGCAACAGAAGCCCTCAAAACTCTATTCATAACACCAGATCCTCTAGGCAAAATCTCGTACTCGAGTCCTAATTTCAGTCTCACATCCAAGTCTCTGGGCACGAATATCGATATGCAACAAATCCCCTCCAAACACACATACACAGGATCACCATACCCTAGTGTCCCCCCAATTTCTGGGCTCAAAGGCCGATATGCAACAAACCCATCTATCTGAATCTGTATACCACTGTCTACAATACCAAGAACCCCAAGTCATTAAACCACATTCCGCCGAGTTTCTTGGGCATACTGGGCATACATGTCGATATGCAACAAATCTCCTTCAAATACCTAGTATACATACACAGAATCACCATACCCATACCCATAGTATCTCACTAATCTCTGGGCTCGAGGCCCGATATGCAACAAAAGTACCAAGTACCTACCCAGGTATTCACACATCTACAACCCACTCACTCGCTCTCCACAACATGACCAAGACCCCCAAGTCGTTAATATCACACCATCCACCCACCAGATTCCCTGGGCGCGAATACAGATATGCAACAAAGAATCATGAGAAAGTAGTATCACCTTAGTACATTGTACCACACACACATACATGACTCTTAGTATCACCCTATATGCTGGGCATGAAAATAGATATGCAACAAAATTTCTCGAGGTGTTTGCGGGTTTGTGTTCAGGATATATTATCCATATACATGTGTATACGCAGGTGATGTCACGAGATTTTCGGATAGATATCTTTCCCTCCCTCTCTCCCTCCCTCCCTACCTACCTAGATATCTAGATATCTATCTCTCACATCACCACAAATAATCCTACTATCCAGTAATCTCAATCCATATAACAAAAAGCTCGACATTCCAAGAATTGAAAGTCTATCTATCTATCCATCTATCCTCTCTACTACAATTGAATTTTCTCGCTACCCAACCCTTAAATTTTAGTATATTTCCTTCCTCGCTTCCTAATTACCTAGAAATCCACTCGGTTATTTTTCTGATCTCTCTTCCTCTCTCTTCCCCTTCTCATGACATAACTCACGCTGAAATTTGAATTTCAACTCAAACGCGGATTGATTCAATGTTCAGCATTTCATAACCTCGTGTATAAATGGAAATGAGTGAATGAGTGAATGACAGGATGCATATCCAGACCCTAAATTAGAGAGATGAGAACGAAGAGCACATAGACTACGCACATCCTATTTTCCATTCCCATTGTATCAATTCAATAATCTCCGGCACGGCCTGAATACCAATGCATTCCCTCACGCTCCGTGAATATTTTCAGACTATCAGTCAAACCGCCGACCTAGATCTCAACACTACAATCGAGAAGTGCCTACCTAGGTAAGTAAACGAGACATGTCCGATTCACTACCGCTAAATAAATAAAAATTGTTAGAGATGCGGAAGTAAAAATACCAAATCTAATTCAATTATGAAGAATTCTCTATCACTTTTATCCTATCCTTTATCATTTTCAACTCCTCTTTGGTATAAATCTTCCAAAAACGCCTTTCTATTTTTCGGTTCCTCCTTAATAGCCCAATTCCATTTTAGTTTAACTCTTCCACCGGCTTTGCAGCCCCCTTTCCTTGGTTTCCTACCAATCTCTGTGAATTCGTCAGTGAAAGGTCTTTATTTGTCAAGACACGGAAGAACTAACCAAAAGATTTCTTAACAAAACAGCAATTGTAACTTTTCCAATGGAAGGTACGTAAATCGAAGCCTTCTCCTTCACAGCAGGGCCATCGAAATTCTTTTGAGATGAGAAATTGATACAGACAGCGCCATCCCTGATCAATTCAGTGTTGATCTTGAACTTCTCTCCTGGAACACCGGAGATGACCACATCACTCTTGGGCAAACATTCATCGTTCTTCATTCCTTCCATATCGTGTACCTCGTGATGGATCTTCTTGATACCCTTGCCACGGGTAAAGAGCTTCACGCCGTCAAGATCGCAAGAGTAGACTGTAGCACCATCATTGGCAAGTAAAGCAGCCAATGGACGACCAACAACCTCTGAGCGGTTGAATACTGTGATCGTCTTTCCGTACAGACGGTTGCCATATGGGAGAACCGAGTTATAGATTTGTAGGTGTTCGAGAACTTTGACAACTGCTAAAGGTGTGCAAGGTAAAATCGATTTTTGGGTGTTGTGAGGAGCGTCAAGGAATCGAATGTTCTGGTACATGTTGAAACGGTAGGTATGCGCCAATCCTTCTACATCTTTGTTGAGAGCGACTATTTGTTGGATGTATCCATCTTGTAGAGAAGGCGCGGGGAAGATTGGGTAATATACGATGATACCGTGGATGGAATCGTCGTTATTCGCTTTGAGGATTTCGTCTTCGATCTCTTCCTTGGTGAACTTTCGGAGTTCGAAATCGAAACCACTGGATGAAAGAAGTCAGTGTGTGGAACTATCGAAGTCCAACTACTTGTAGTGTTCGACATCATCGTGAGAATCCCCAAGTCTTGAACTAAAAGATTGATAGTTCGTGGGCGCAAGTAATTCCCATTTCAGTGTCTTGTAATCTGATATCCAATTTCTCTGTGCTTTTCAGATCTTTTGATTTGTGAATCGTTAAATTACTCCCATCTTTGAAGGGAAATGTGGTCAAGTATAGCAAGTATGCGATTGCAAATTCTCTTGTGTATAGCAAATGGAAACGAACGGAAGAATACTCACTTCTCAATGCATGTAGCCATTGACCAGTCCGCATACTGCTGAGCTGCAGGATCTTCATTTGCCAACAATCCCACAAGCTTAGGCTTGAAGGTTAACTTCTCTAGATCCGTCGCGACTTCTCCAAGTAACTTTTTAGCAATTCCTTGAGCCAAGATAACCTTGCAGGTCGCTGGGACAGGAGAAGAGGACATTTTCGACTATGTTTGGATGACTTGCGGCGAAGGATTTAGGAGAAGATCGTGGCACAATTTTCGATAAAGTCACAGTGCTTCGACAAGGGTCTCGTGTATACTTGGTTTGTTGATAGGAAAATCCTGTTCTGGAAGGTAACAAATCAGAGGAGAAGTTTTGATGAAACATGTGTAAAATAAAATTTTCTTCCCAATGCTTATCTTATCGCACCTTTTTTGGAGGGGAAATGGAGGGGTAAGTCAGGGGTGTCGATTGGGGCTCTTTTACCTCACCGGATCCAGTGAAGGGTACAATACACAGGTGATGTATAAAAAGAGGAACAATAAGAGCTTCGTTCAAATCAAGTACTTGGTTCATTGGAAGTCGTTCTCTTCTCCTGATGGATGTACAATGTGAAACATCGTGAATCAGAACAAACATGATGGGAATTCGAGGTGCTAACTCACACAGTTCCCGATGTTCAACCGTTGACCGCCTTGATGGGCAGAAAATTTCCCCTCAATCAATTCTAGAAGCTCAATTATTAAGGTTATCTGAGTCTGAGAATCATAATCATTGAACGGATTGCACATAGAGAAGAACCTGCCATTCAAGGGTACATGATTTGCAATCGATATTATATCTCACTCGTTTTTACTCTCTTCTCTTGTATAAGGAGAACTGTTCATTTCGATACCATTTCCATTTATCAGCCATATAGCATTGTTTCTACAAGCCTACATACCGAGCTTTTCTTACTGGTGACTCGAATTGGTGCTACATTTCACGACAATCATATCCCTTCAGAGTAAGTCGCTTTTCTTCTATTCATGTATTAGTCCATCTTATGTGCTGGTTGATGGCGACCAGCATGCCTTGTTTGGCTCTTATCTGGAACTATTCAGTGTATATATCGTTTCCACTATTCGAAGAGGCTTCAAAGCTACCTAGAATTTCTCAACCTACGTCCACGATCTTACTCGATGGGTTATCTGGGACCCCTTCAGAGTTCCTGGTTATCTGGGTTTCAAGCCCTCGAGTTCAATTGACTTCGATCCTTGACCGATCCTCTTGCCAGAATGTGTCGTCCTATTTCCCCCTCCTTCAGCAATCCAGGCCTCGATCTCGACTTTGGGGTGAGACACGGCACCTGAAATTGCTCTCCGAAATTCTGTGACATCTTTCCTACCCTTGAGGACAATACGTACGCTATCGTCTATCCCACTAGCCCTCTTCGTATTGTCGCGACCTGGAATCCAGACAAATGCTTTTCCTCCTGCTCCAATTCACCGGCTACCTAGGCGCACAAATAGACTACACGTCCATGACCACTCGATCTCTTGGATTGTTACACAGGTTGTTGGGCACTGGCTAGCAGTTGAATCGAATATAGAGTGTGCACGTTCTCAGGTAGCTAATGTTGGTTTTTCTATAGACTAGGCGCTTTCGATCGCCGTCACCCAATTCAAGTTCCCTTTCGAATAGTCTACTTTCCATTGGCGAGCTACGATAAACAAAAACAATATGGGATCTACGGTGGTTGAGTTTATGGCTGCGCAAGCAGAGGAGGACAAGTTAGCAATTGTCAATCGAAAAGTAGAAAGTACGATTTCGAAGCTTTCAGCCAAATATGTTGGGTTCAACTTTCGCTAAACTGTTGGATAGATCTCGCTGCAATTAGCAGTCTTATTGCGGAGCTTGGTCCATATATAGATGGCGAGGCTTCGATGGAAGATTGTCAGAAAGGTGCAACCCATTTGAGTAGATTGGTTTGGAACGTATTTCAGTGCTGACTACGTCCAGGGTTGGAGTTTCTGTTACTTGTACTACAAAGTGTTGACCCCGGAAAGCTCTCAAGGCATGATCGTAAGTAGAGCGAGCGATATTTGTATTGGGTACAGGTGCTAATGTACACCAGTGAGCGCTCTTGTGGAGTATTTGACAAATCGGGTATCCCAGGCTGGGGAGGTTCAGATTTACCGAGCTGGTCTCCTTGAAATTGCTAAATGTCTGACTACCATTGCAAAGATGCCCAGGTTTATTAAATCAAATGCACCTGATATAGCGTCGGCAGTTTTCCGTCTCCCAGACAACAAGCAGTCTCTAAATGACTTCCCTCATTCTACACGAGCAAGTCTACTCAACCTTCTCCAATGTCTGCTGGAAGCATATCCAACAGCACTTAAATCCTCGTTGGGAAGCAAGTTTGTTGATGGTATGGCTTCCATGGCGGCAATTGAGAGAAATCCATCTTGTATACTTGCTATTTTCAAGATTTATAGTCAATTAGGCAAAAGTTGGGATATAAATTCTGATGAAGCTGAAACTTTGTTTGGATCGTTCTTCCGTTATTTTCCCATTACAACTACTAAATCAGCAACGCCCTTGAAGCCAGAGGAGGATCTAAAACGCGGTCTTTTGGACTGTTTGATATCAAACGATAAATATGCCCCTTTTGTTTTCCCAGCATTATTCCAGAAATTAGACTCCGAAAGCGTTAGAGCAGATATAAAGGTAGTTAAATCCATCATCCTCTTTTCCGTTGTATGCTAATTGATTAGATTGATGTATTCGATTCCATGCTTGAATGCATACGAAATTACACCAATGTTTCAGAGTTTTCAGTCACAATATGGGACACTTTGAAATGGGAGGTCTGGAACGGCGAAAATGATGACTTTATCAATCGTTCTATAGAAAACATTGCTGCGATTGCCGGCAGACTGGGCCAACAATCCTCTAGCACCGAAGACGATAACGTCGAGTTGGAGAAATTTGTCAACTATGTCACTCAGGAATGCATTACAATATTTACCGATGATACAAAGAAGCGTATGATTTTACCATGTACTCGCATTTTGGGCAAAATTTCGAGCACATCTCCTCAAGCTTTTACACTTACTTCTCGAAATACTCTTCCAACTCTTTTCACCTTATGGCAAGGGCTAGATACTATAGCAGACAAAACGCGATTACTCGAGTCATTTAATATTGTTCTCGAAACACGTGCAAACATCTCACATTCATCCGCTCCACCCATCGGAGATGCATACATGGCTCAACAATTGGCCGCCATGGATGTAAGTTTTGATAGTTTCCGCGAAAGCTTCATAGAACTTTATTTTGGCGCCACCTCCATGCCTTCGAGTGATCTCGAATTAAAGATCGCCACCACTAAAGGACTTACACTTTTGGCATCAATTCGCAATGATTCAGTCAATCGTCCATTTTTGAATTCTTTCGAACAAGGAACAATCATTGAAAAGCTCAACGAGACAGCGTTTAATTTGAAAGAGGCGGACGATCTTCGCTCGCTGGCTGTAGCTTCCTTGTCCATTTTATCAGTTCGATATCCAGACACGTTTATCAACATCACACTCCCCAATTTTATTGGCAAACTTCCAGATCAGTTAGAAACCGAGCATGGTGATGAGTCTGACTTGACTCAAGTAGTTTGGCTCCTGGACTCACTTGTCGACATTGCGTGCAAGTCAACTTGCCAACGCGAGCTAGAAACTCCTGACTTCGAAGACAAGACTCATTTCAAATTCAGATTGTTTAAGGCTTTACAATCCGAATTTGTCATGAAATTTACACATCATGTTTGTAAATATGCAAATCAAACATCCTATCAGATGGCCCTTTTAGCCGCAATATATCGAGGATTGCAGGTGTTTGATGATGCACTTGCCAATGATAAAACTGCCGGCGAACTATTGTCAAACAGTAATAAAATCATAGATCCCTATGCTTTCATTGCAATTGCATTATTCAAGCGAGTTATTGGGCTCTTTCAGCATGAGACTGGCGATTTGAAAGGCAGTTGGTTTGTAGGTATCTCCGAGGTTAGCAAAGGAGAATACTTCGACGATTCCGTTGTTGCACTCGTTGGAACAATTGGAACGTACATACTTCGATCCAGCACCACTCCACACGAAAATAACTTTTTACTCAAAGCTAATGCAGATAATCCAACTGAGCCAAGTCGTGTTTGGACTTTATTCAATTTCGGAGCACACACTAGAGCAGACTTAGGTGCTTGTCAACGGGACCTTCGTATTGGCCCCTCCAATAAATGTTCCGCCAACATTCTTTCCACAGCCTTAATAGCTGGAATCCGCAAAGAGGTGAGCCGATTTTCATTCTTTTTCCATGTCAACTTTTACTGATTTGTTCTAGGACATCGACCGCTTGGGTCTAGTGGTTCATGAAACTGCCAAGTCAATGCTTTTCAACGCAATTTCTGTGGAAAACAAGTGTTCAAGACAAGCTCGCATTAGTATGTTGCAGATGCTTCAACTTCTCGTAAACAAATTCGGTGCAGACAAGAAAACGTTTGAAGACGGAAAACAACTTCATGGCGTTATGCTCGAGCTGGTCAATGAAGCAGCATCAAAGTCGGATTTAGAAGCATATCAAATATATCAAGCCCTGGCATATTTTGCTGCGGCCGCAGTAGCAGCATATGAGCCATGTAGTATGGCACTCATCGATGCCATGATGCAAGGTATTTCTGACCCAAAACGTGGTCGAAAGGTTGCCCGCAGTTTCGCGATCCTTTTGGCTCCATCGAACATGATAAACGAAAGCAATTTCTGTATTCTCCGCCCTCTTCGATTTGGCCGCCTTTACAGCACCACTGTCAATCAACTTATCACTCTCTGGCGATCCAATGAAGACAGTCGTATCAAGGAAAACTATCTTATTGCTATTGCTGGTATCCTTCGATATATGCCAGCAAAGATCATGCAAGGCAATGCTGCACAAATCCTTCCAATTGCTCTAGCTGGTACAGACGTTCCGGATAAGACCACAAAAGATGCAAGCATGAACATTATGATCGTTCTAATGCCGGAAAATCCTGGTTTGATCGAAGAACACCTTGATTCAATTATCAATCGAATGACGGATCGTACGCATAATACATATGATTCGCCTTCGGATGCTAATGTTGAAGGTAGATCTAAGGCTTTGGATGTGCTTGCTATGCTTCCAACTTTGGTAGAGAACGGACTACTTTTGAAGCGAAAAAATGCAGTACTGAAGGAACTCGATGTCGCGTTAGATGATTGCTCGAGAGAGGTGAGAATGAGAGCTGATAGATGCAAAATGATTTGGTTCAATTTGTAACTGGAGCTTTGAATTTGCATGGTGGATTATGGTTTTGAGAGATTGCATTGGGTGGTTTGGGGCGCAGTAATTATACACACAAAATAGGTGGAGAGGTATTTTGAGATATTGATTAGACAGATGATTTGATGAGGACGAGTACTAGAGGATATGGCATGGTGGTAAAGTGGAATAATATAAGGATTGTTATCCAGATTGCTCTAATAAAACGGTTCCCGGATGAGAACAATTATGTGATAAAGCTAGAACCCTTTTCAGTTCAATACTCTAACTTGAACATCTGGCTAAGAAGAAGAAACCTTCACTCGCTATGAACATATTGCCACGTACTTTACATGCGACCCCTTATTAGAAAAACTAAACAACCCCTCACCCTTCACCCTATCCTCTATCCTTCATCCTATCATCTACTCTTCTCTCATCGAGTTTTCCTATGTATCCTGTTTTATTCGATCTTAAAATCTCAAGTCGGAGTTGGCCTTGAACAAACTGATCTCTAATTTATGTTGGACGACCGAAGTAATCTTGAATGGTATTTGGTGAGAGAGTTTCATCGGGAAGTACCTCGGTACTTTTGCTCAAACCCCTTACACCCCGTACATAGTCGTTGACATTGTTCTCCAGATTCATTTCTTTCAGTTCTTTCTCAACTACCACATAACAGTTAGTGATAGGCTCAACTTTATATGTACAAGGGGGATCACAAACACTTCGAAAGTTTGTGCGACCTGTGTTTCCGATCAATCCACCTGTCTTTTGGAGGACTCCACCAGACCAAAGACTTTGCTCGTTTGTCTACAATCTTTTTCCAATCCTTTGTAGGTCTTTCCATCAAATCATCAACCAAAGACACGACCTCTTTCTGCGAACCAAATACAGAAAAGATGACGTTCAACAATAAGATTAGAAAGAACGCTATGAATAATATAACAATCGCGGGTGCACATTGCAACATCGTGTGAATAAGAAATTTCACAGGTGTCGCTAGATGATGGAAGAGCTACAGAAGCCGTGGCGACTGCATCAACGACTGCCACACGGGTTGTCAGTCCCCAAGTGCTGGTGTAATGCCTGACTATCTCAATCGTCTCCGTTGTCGGAATTTTGGAGTGAGCAATGGTTTTCAGTGTGTCGAAGTGGAAGGAATCTGAGATATATCAGTGTGTCTTATATGTGTGCATCTTCAAAAATCTAATTTCACATACATTTGTGTAGAGATCATTCGGCTCGTTTGTGATAGCTATATTCCGGATTATTGAACACCCTGACCTGGTCCTGGTCACGGTCCGGCCTTGGTTGCGCTTTTGATTTGAATAGTGAATCTTAAAGGTGGAGAGTCAAAATATGAATACATCTCAGTGAAAGTTGCGCCTCTCAATAATTTCCGGCATTGTAAGTGAATTGAATAGTTATTTGAGGTTATAAGTCGCTCTTCTGTCTCGAAAGTACGATCTGAATGCATCAGAAATCAAAATCCTACAACTTCCAGGTTCTGATAGAGCTTGGCAACGGAAACGCTTGGTATGCTTTTCACAAGGACTCGGGTTGATCACATAAGACAGTTTTATTAGCATAGGAAAACAATCCCAAAAACTCGCTTTTTTTATTGTGATATTCAGTGTCGAATTCATCTTATCGTCCTATGTTGTAATTCAACTTATCCGATTTCCAAAAAATTGAAAGGATTCTTGCCGTAGTTATCAGATGAGCATCGCTTGACTCCGATGTTATTGCAAGGTCGGAAACCCCGTAGAATAGGTGCCCATATCGGTCGTTATTTCATGATAACTATTTTATGAGGATTCTATTGGCCACAATAGATTACTAGAGCATTTTTAGAGAGACAAATTGTTGTACAAAACGATGTCTAGTAGCTTGAGTGGTCGCAATTGAAATCGTTGCGTGGGCAGCGTGGAGTCGAGGTAGACCATTTGAAAAGAAGCGAAAGTGAACCTGGAAGTAAGTAGACATTTATTCACTGGAGAATTCCTTACCTGAACATGTGAGAATCTAGATTAGCAATAATTGGCTCAGCCCTACAGTGTATGCAAATCAGCCTCGGGACTTAGTCACGCTTCGCAAATCTCAAATTGAATCGGTTGAAGCCAAACTACGTGTGTATAATTACTGCTCCGAGTCGCAGAAAGATGTCTCAGCAAAGCAATCAGACTTTTACAAAGGTTGAAAAAAGGTTTGGTTTGCGTTAATTAAGGCTTATTATGCGGCGCATGCGTGTGTGATCAGCAGTAGTAAAAAAACGACCAACATGCTTGGTCCAAATGTAAGAATTGAGGAGTTAGCTGAGTTTCCTTGCGTGATAAACCGTTGCTAATTTCCTGAAATCAAAGGTGAGATAGACAGCTGTAGTTTGATTGTGATTTTTTTTCAGAACTGTTATGAGTCTAGTTACCAACTCAATCGGAAGGCTGTGGCATTGAATCGTCCCAAGCCATTCATCCCTTATCATTATAGAGTGTAAGATCTAAACTTACAGCATCATCTAACCGAACTATATATGTTGTCATTATGTTTTCTAGTACTCGCTTCACTGCCCATGGGACCACAGTCTTAGAACTAAATCTAGGAGAACATTTTTGCCAATTTTCTCACCAAATTATCGCAGCACTCGACAAATGCTGCGGTACTTTCCCGTCATTGCTATCGTGGAGCTCAACGTTGTCAACTGTCTGAAAATTATTGTGGAACTCAACGCTCGCTTTTGTGTTGAGAAGACAATGTCATTAAGTCACATGATATTTCTGGAGACCAACCAAAGTCTGGTGCGCTAAAAGCCTGAGACTGAGGTTTTTAGCTCCAGATTTTGTACTTACAGACCCTTCGCTTAAACGAGCTAAGGTTCTTAGCTTCAAAGATTCCACGCTAATTCCCGGTCCTCCACACCCTAAAAGCCTCTTTAGTTTTTGCCAATCCATTAATCACTTAAGCGGCCTCAGTAGCTTACTAGTACACTTGGCTTATTATAGGGATTGAAGTAAAATCTCGCTAACAAATGGTTAACCGGCGATAATCGAATCCTAGAACTACCCAGGCTTTGTTTTGTGACGTCATATACAATTTTACTACCTACGTATACAGGCTGATGTACAGAATACGAATTCATATGGTATCAAGTGTGATAGAATTATCGCTTCTCCATATCGTTTTGATCGAGAACATGGATATAGTGCGTCACGCTAATGTAAGCTAGCATATAATCATCAATAATCCACAAATATTGGACACTGACATACAAAAGAACCAAAAATTATCAAGGAGAGATTTACTAGCGACATCAAATTGATTTCAAAGGGGTATTCACAGCAGCCACTGTTATGAGTAATTAACATGGGAACTTCATGTCATCGCAGATTCTTCAAGCTATTGGCCGAAGTGGCATTCAAACAGAAGCACTAGTCATATCTTTGGTATCGATTTCTTTGTTCTGATCCTAAGCGGGTTCATTGTTAGTGGAAAAATGGTACATTGAATTTCTTTTGTTTGGAAAGCTTGAATTGGCCAATACCACTGTCACACGCAAGACACAAGAGAACACATGATGTGAAAGAAGAAAAATTACTTATTAAATATTTCGAAAGGAAAAAGAGAAGAGAATCATCTAACAAACCTACTTACCAACCTATCTTCCCCTAGTCAATCCTTGGACCACTCCCAACCAAACAATAAATCAACCCAAAAAGTATCATTCCCCTCCAGAAAACTTTTTTCGAGAAGATTTCTTCCCACCACCCATCCTCCTCGGGTACACTAAACCCACTCTGTTTCCCCCTCGCCTTGGCTAATTCCTTTTGTTGCCAATCTGTCAAAAAAGCATATTCTTCTTGTCCCGGCTGAACCTGCGGACGCAGCGATGCGATATCATTATGTTCAAGTGAGCCGGGTATATATAAAGGTGCTAAGTTAGGAGCATTCAAGGGACGACGACGGAATTCCTGGCGGAGAAGATGAGGATCGCGGGCTGGAGGGATATAATCCATGTAGCCTTCATCGCATGTGATGCAACCTGTGCGACGATGTGCCGGTTCTTTTTTGTTCTGGTATTCGGGATTGGTGTAGAATTTTGATGGCATTTTGGGAGGTGGAGTTGGGTGTGAGTTTTGGAACATGGTGCTGATATGATACTCTTCAGTTGGAGATGAGTGTGGGCTTACCTGTTTATTTACTTGTTTACTTTTCGAACAATTGATTGGAATAAATGTATATAAGTTACCACCAGGGTAGACTTTTCAAATGTAATTGAGATTGAGAAACGAAAGTTGGAGTTGCGAGTGTAATGAAAGTGCGGTTCTGTAGATGGCTGTTCTTTACAATTGGATTGTTCAGGGAATGTTGTTCAGCTATATAGCTGGCCTTTTCTTTGTCCTTTGGATAAAAAAGGGTCTTGGCAATTTGAATGTAGCTGAAAGACTTCCTTGTGCTAGATACAGAGTTCGTTCTATTTTGAAAATGACAATTACATTGTCTGTTCATATCCTTTGTTACTTTGCTCTGGACAAGAGAGAAAAGATACATTCTTTGTCTCCGGATGAATAGTTTTCACACTGAGAAGAAATGAAAGACCGCAAGTCTCCAAGATACTTGTGTACCTTGTAAGGCAGAACAATGCTTGAATAGATGGAAACTGTTCCTACAATTGACTTCCATTCCGCTGTTAGATTATTTTCTTCAGTCTTCTAATACACTTCAATATAACCCCATTAGAAACACGAAATCAACGTTTTTATTTTAACACTTTCAAATTTCCGTCATTCTTCAAACAAACCAAATCCTTTTAATACTATTTCAACATGTGCCATTTATTCCTCACCTTTTGCCCATCCTGCTCCAGGGTTGCGGCTCCGTCTCGAGTCGAGAAGTGCGCTAACCGATCTGACGCAGCCCACACTCCCATTACAACCCAAATCACTGCCATGAAACCCTGCATTCGATGCAACAACCGCAACAAACCATCGAATCCCACCGGCGTCCTCACTCAAGACATCCTCGAAGAAATGTGCGTGAAAATTCCCGAATGGCATCCCACTGCACCACAGGACCCTGCTACCGGGATCCTTCCAAACTGGGACTCCGAAAGCTTGGCTCGTACTCAAGATGAGGAACTCTTTTTCGAACACATCACCCAAAGCCACAGTGTAGAAGTCAAGAATCGACAAGACTTGCCAAGTCAACGCAACGGATTCCCGTTATGCTTGATGGCTGGAATCAAGCAAAGGCCCTCACCTGTGAATCAACGACTTGAGAGATCACGACCAGACAGATCAAAGTTTACTTCACCTCCGTTATCATGGAACAACAACCCTAGAACCAGACGACTTGGTGTTGCGCCAGCACCACAAGCTGCAGCAATTCAAGCAGACTCTCCACCGTCGGGAATAGCCACTCATTTGGTCCCAGGAGTAAACCATCGAAGAAGCCAAGCTCAAGAGGAATCTTCCATCATATCTTCACCACTCAGACTCCAAATCCCACCTCAAATATCATCTTTCATCGAAACCCAAGACACAGAATCCACCCCCTCATCAGCCACATCAACCCGTTCCGAATATCTCCTCCCAGGACCATCACCCCAGGCAGAGACATTCAGTCCCGTAGCCTTCGCTCAAATTCCCGCCCATTACGACATGCGACGAACTTCCGTCTCAACACCTGTCCGTGTCTCCACGACTCAACCACAAGTTCAAGCACGCGAACAACACGAGGCTAATGACCAGATGTCTCAACGCAGTCGAGAACATCAAGAAGAACGCAAGCGTCAAAATCTCGAGAGCGAACGAATGCGCGAATTGCAACAACGAGATGTTCAGTGCGAGCAGACATCGCACTCTGAAAATTTGCCGCCACGACATGTCAAGGATGTAGGATTCAAAAGCGTACGACCCAAGCGTAGCTTGAAATTGCTTCCGAGTCTTCGATCTTTCGGTTCTTTCCGGTTTGATGTTTGATTGACGACGTGAGTGTGGGCGGGATGCATCTCTAGTGAGCTGGCTCTCACTACCATTTTCCCCATCCACTCGTCTTGGTGTTTACAAGTTCTCTTGCGGCATTATTAAGACAAATTGAAAAAAGGTAGGGCCTTGGAGTAAAGCATTGTAAAAAAAAATTATTACAAAGAAAAATACCCTTATTCTTCCTTTGTTTGTTTTTCGTCTTTCTCATTGCCATTTTCCATCATCACAACATACAAAACACCAAGAATAAATAGATTATAGACTCGGGCCCTAGAGATAAAAGATGTAATATTTCTCATGAAAAAGTAATTTAACACCAATGAAACTATAATATCATGTCTATGTTCAAAGGTTCCCAGCCGCTGTGAACGCCGTGCTCCTATGATAATCTCATCTCATTACTCACTCCCTCGTTCGCTTGATATCTCAAACTTTTGCTGCGTCAATTTCTAAAGGTACAGCGTTTGCAGTACGTAACCATTCTCCATTGAATGCATTGATAAGCCAGTTGTTAAGTTCTGCGACTAGTTAGAATATGAATAAATCAAATTTAATAGGAATTACTTACTATCATAGACAATTCTGTTCGCGTTGTGGAAGTAGATAGAATGATCGCTGTCTGGGAAAACATGTACGTCGTAGTTTTCCACGCCAGCAAGGTCGAGTTTGTCCAACAAAGTGAGCGTGTTTTGCATATGAACATTGTCATCTGCGACACCGTGCATAATCAAAAATCGAACGTTTTTGGCGAGTGATTTTACATCGCTAATGCTAGTATTATCATATCCGCTAGGGTTATGTTGTGGTGTGTGCATATATCGCTCCGTATAGATAGAATCGTAGAATCGCCAATCGGTGACAGGCGCAACTGCCATACCATAAGAAAATGTTTCTCCAGCATCTTCTTCTAAGGTCTTTAATGTCATGAAACCACCATATGACCAACCCCAAATAGCCATTCTTGATTCGTCGACATACTTTTTGCTGGCCCAAATTTTAGCAGTTTCAATTTGATCGCGTGCTTCATAGTGACCAATGTTGCCACGAATAATGGTTCGGGCTTTTCGTCCGATGAATCCAGTTCCACGGCCATCGACAGTCACAACAATGTATCCGAGGTTCGAGGCGATGTATGATTCGAAGTCAACACCAAAGCTCTTGCTAACAGTTTGAGATCCGGGACCACCGTAAAGATAAAATAATACTGGATACTTCTTCTTTGGGTTGAAGTGTGGTGGTCGACGTTCAACGACTTGCAATTCAAATCCGTCGATTGTGACAGTCTGGTAGATTAGAATAGGCAATTCGTGTTTCTTTGCCATATCAGCTAGTTCTTTGTTCTCCTCGATGACATGTGTGTATTGGTTATCGTTACTGGGAGTGCTGATAACTTTCTGCCATGGAATATTTGGGCCATTGTAGTTAAGGAGTACATATCCAGCACCCTTAGAGAATGAAGCACCATAATAACCTTCCGTCGAAGTATCGGTGATAGCTTTCATATCCGTACCATCTAGTTTGACGCTGTATACTTGTCTTGTAATTGGTGACTCTTTAGTAGACACAAAATAGACGAGATTGTTCTTGAGATCAACAGCAGAAGGCGCTTTTACTACTTCCCAGTCTCCAGAGGTAAGAAGAATAGGCTCAGGATTATCCATTGGCGTGAAGTATCCCAAATGATCATAATTCTCGTGAATGATAGTATCAATATATCCATCGTGGGGGCGGCCATTTGCAGGATCCGCAGGAATATAACGAGTGTCTTCAGAGACTTCGAACCATCCACCATCGAGTTTTGCAATGTCTGTGAATCGTACAGTCTTTCCCTCTCGCGCCACAACATCAACAAGAACAACTCGCAAGATGTCACTTTCTCTGTTCGTCTCGCGAATCAAAGCCTTACCTGTCGACCCAGCCCAAACTACCTCTGTAATCAAAAGATCCTTTGGCTCAAAGCCACCGGCAATTTTGACCTCAAATACCTCTGCCTTGGAAATATCATAAAACAAAAGATCGACAGTAGGGTTTGGAGCACCGGCTTTGGGGTATTTGATTTCTCTGACTTCGGGATAATTTTCTTCTCCTGGTAAAGGATCTTTCCCACTAGGTCTTGATACAAAGTATTGAACTGGGTATTCAGGTACCTCTGATTCATTTGTACGAAGGAATGCAATATAATTGCCACTGTCGTCCCACCAAGTTGCACTGGCTCCAGCAAATACCTCCTCTTCGTAGACCCAATCAGGTACACCATAGAAGAATTCCGGACCACCATCCACGGTTATTTGGACAACAGTTGGTGAAGCTAGTTTTCGAAGGTACATATTGTTATCTCGAGTGAAAACAATGGCATCGCTCTTTGGACTCCAGCTGGCCAATTGAACTCGGCCATCTAAATCTACAGGATCTAATGGTTCCGCAGTTTGAGATTCGACATCGAAAATCCAATATTTCGCATAGAAGGAATGTCTCCAGTTTGATTGAACATCTGTTGCCACCAAAACTTTCTTCAAATCCTTGCTAGGGTACACTTTGCTTGGTGTCAAGCTTCTCCCTGCAACTTCGAAATATCCATTCTTCATCAAAGTCATCGTGTCTAGAGTCCCTACAGCTGAAGGGCTTTGTGTTCTGACATCTTCCACAATCAAATAATCCTTTCCGACAGAACCTTGTTCGAGTAATAATCCATCCTCCCCGTTGGCTCCTTCAATCCAACTTATACTGTGTTTCATCGCTCTCCATTGACCTCCCATAACCTGATCCATCGTAACCTTCTTCCCACTCCCCCTCGAGGATGTTGCCTGTGGATCGTGAGGACTTTCCGATGAATGTTTGTATGCCTGTTTCCCCAAGAATATAAACAATGCCAGCACCCAGGCTCCAATGAACACTCCCCCGATAATCCATATCAATCTTCTCAATTTCTTGTCGACTGACTTATTCGTTGCTCCATTTGTAAGAAATGCGCCATCCTCCATATCATAATCCTTCTCCTCTTCCTCATCTAAATGTATTTGCGTATGTTCATCATCCGCATACGCCATCTCTCTTCGAGGAGGGAATTTGGGTGTCACCATCGTCGGTTTTTCAGACCCATTCGCAGCAACACGTTCGCCGATCCGATCGAAGACCAAACTCGTAGTCGAAGCAGTCGAGGCGACAGAATCAGATGAATTTCGCGAGACAGACTCCTGCTCTGTGGACAGGAGCTTTGCGTTTTCTTCAGGGTGCCCAGCCATATCTGAGGGTACAAGAGTTTCAGTGGGTCTTGGAGTCCAGAGCTACGCCAATACCATATATAAAAATGTATCAATTCGAGATGCACATTGCTTTTGGATAATCTTAAAAATTCTAGAGTGGCCAATAGTTGAAAGGGAGAAAGAAGGTTGAATTGTAAAATTTATCTATTGAGGATAGTATTAGGAAGGGTTCTAGAAATCGCCTTTGTCAATATGTTGATGGCTGGCTTATTAGTTCAGCTTCCCCAATACGTGGAGTCCGACACTTATCGGGTACATACCCAAAGATCATCCATGTAATCGTGCCAATTCCTTCAAGATTACCAAGATCTTCCTTACGTTATGTAAAAGCCTCTTGAGTTTCACGATATCTTGAATCCCATAGACTTCACACCGCGATTATGTTTTCGTTACAAAGGACGATTTCTCCAAAGAGCGAAACAAAGAACACATTCTAGTATGTTGAATTCTGATGATCCCGTAAAGCTCCCGTAAAGCAATCAATGAATTGTTCACCCTCTTTACAACAAGTGCTATTTTTGGAAAGTTAGGATGATTTGAGATATTGGCTGAAATATTATAAATTACTCTGAGAAACGGAAAGAATAAATAAAGTAAGCTGAAGATATATAGGAGCTGAATCTAATCCCCAACTCGATGTTGTAAAGCTAAAACATCAAATATATGATTAATATAATAAATTAGGACCATAACCCAAGAGATAATCTAATTCTACACCAGGTATTTGTCCCGTGAATACTAATGGTATAATATGCAAACATACAATCTCCAATCTATGACCTGCTCGCTTGCTCCCATAACTATTATCTTATACGTTTCCCTAGACATCCTCGACCTTCATGCTAAACGGTATATTCTTCGTTTGTAGACATATGCCCATTCATCTTCCCAAAATCCCTTATTTATTATGTATGATGAAGTTCCTCAAACTATCCCAAGTATCGCTCTGCACATAAATGTAATCCATACTACTCCTCAACCCACTCTGCACCGTCTCTGGGTACCATCTGAACAACCACATAACACTTCCCCAGCTCAGTGCTGCAAATACTGGCCATGCGTCGTTCGATATGCGATCTGCAAGCTCTTTATTTCGGATGATTCCTGCTGAAGGAAGAACAGCTAATTGTGCTAATGACAAACATACTCGTGCGAATACTGTGCGCCCATACGTTAGCATGTCTTTCGAATGTAGGTTATTGGAGCATCGATTGGAAAAGAAAAACATACCAAATATCACAATTTGTTTGCTAACACTACTGACATGCCCCTTCTTTGACCTCCTTCCAAATACCACATACCCACCTAATAGTCCTGCTAAAAATGTATCCCAATTTCCCTCCTTCCCCTTATTGCCCCCTGAGTATTTGAGTGCTAACATCGTAGTCTTATATATCGTAGCATATTTCGCGAGGTTTTGCGCATGTGTTCGTGTTGCGCGGAGTATCAGCCCTATCTTTTCGCGCACAGTACCAGATCTGAATAGGAACATCATGCTAGAATATGGATTCAGTAAGTTATGCGCCTAGTAATCGGTAAAGGCGAAATAAAAAGGGGGGACCTACACCAATGCATGGGGAAATCTGACTTTGGCACCGTAGACAGCGCCGCTGCGAGCAGCTTTGAGAATAGCGAGAAATTCGGCATTTTTGGGATCGAGAATAAAGCTCTCAAGTGCTGTCTATATTTTTGCATCAGCATATTGCGAAAGTTATGATGAGAACAGTAGATATTTACCTTTATGACAGCAAGTCTTCCCTCCATCTTACCGGCACAAAAATGAACCTCGGTAACTTAATTCTCCAATTCCAGCAATTTCCTTAAAAGAAGAGAAAGAAAGAAGTGACGAATATTACCTCCGTATCCTCATATGTATCTATTCAATCGAATACTTAAATCGCAGACGTGTTGTCAAAAAAATAAAGTCAATGAAGCAAAAAGTAAACTCAGGAATGAAGCTCGGCATGTTTATGGGGATGAACATGAATTCGGATATCCATTCGCTACCCCACAGACTTTCATCCATACTTTACTGGGATTCATTTAGCGTCCGCTCAGGTCCGCAGGGTGGAATTGTTAACATGTGAGATTCAGGCATTCAGGCATTGATGCCTCATGGAATAATTTCGGCGCTAGTGCTTTATCTATTATCGGATCGCAAAAAAAAAGTTCGAGCTTGGAGAAGAAGTAAAGAAGGCATTTGTTAATATCTTCATTCCCTTCAAACAATCACACAATACCACATAATATCAATTCATCATGTTGCGTCAAATGTAAGTACTTTCAATTCTCCTTCCAATCCCAATTGAACTTTTTATGTTAACATATTCTGCTAGCAAACCCCGTAATGCTCGCAGCAAGCGCGCTCTCACCAAAAAAGCACCCAAGCCAGTCGAGAACCCAAAAACCGCTCTCTTTCTCCGTTATACAACATGTTCGCAACCTACTCAAGACTGTCTCACAGATCTTCATACCCTTCATTTACCTCTCGCAAAGAAATTCACCAAGAAGAATAGTATTCATCCATTCGACGATCCTTCTTCCCTTGAATTTTTCTCCGAGAAGAACGATGCTTCCCTCTTAGTTTTCGGTTCCTCATCCAAGAAACGCCCACATTCTATTACTTTCTGTAGAATGTTCGATTACAAGGTTTTGGATTTGTTAGAGTTGAATCTTGATGCAGATTCGTTCAGGACTTTGAGTCAATTCAAGAACAAGAAATGCGCCGTCGGATTAAAGCCTATGATTTTGTTCTCGGGCACTCCATTCGAGAGTCCTGTTTCCGACGAATATACACTTGCGAAATCGATGTTCCTCGACTTCTTTAAGGGAGAGCCAGCAGATAAGGTGGATGTGGAAGGTCTTCAATATATCGTTTCCATCTCAGCCAGAGATAGTGTAGATGGAGAGGAGGAGAAACCAAAGATTCATTTACGAGTATACTTAATAAGGACCAAGAAGAGTGGTCAGAAGTTACCAAGAGTTGAGGTTGAGGAGATGGGACCAAGAATGGATTTCAGAGTTGGCAGAGTCAAGGAAGCCGATGAGAGCATAATGAAGGAGGCAATGAGAAGAGCAAGAGGAAGTGCAGAGAGACCAAAGAAGAACATCACCACGGATATTGTTGGTGACAAGATGGGTAGAATCCATCTTGGTAAACAAGACTTGAAGGAGTTGCAAACCAGAAAGATGAAGGGATTGAAGAGAAGCAGGGACGTAGCTGATGATGATGAGGGTGGGGATGATGATGAGGATATTGTTAGTGATGATGAGCCTGTGAAAAGGTCAAAGAAGGCATGATTCATCGCTACTCTGTGCAGTAATATCAAGATATCAGGTGTTTGGAGTTTAGGCATGGAAAAGGGTCCTCCGCGAAGAGTGGTTGGTTGTGCTCAAGTATTAAATGTCAGATTACATAAAAGCTAACCATTGTAACTTCCACCAAAACTACTGTTTTCATTGTGCATATTTCTCTACGTCTATCAATGGCGAATTCAAACTTTGCAGCCTTCAATTTGGACTTTTCATTCGTCATCAACGTGCGATCGCAACAGAAACCACAGTAGAACATCCCGTCTTACAGAATCGTCTTACATCTATCTTCGAGTGGCTGATACTTTTCCTCAATACTTTCAAGACTCATAGTCCCTGTTGCTAATCCGATCAGCATCTTCAAAATCAGAGTTTCCCACCCACATAGTCCCTACTTGTCCCATCACCCGAGTGCACTGCGTATAATAACTAAACGTAGGCAATGATTCCAGGAAAAAAAAGGAGGAACAGGCAAACATACCGTCACCGAGGATAGGAAACTAGGCCCTAGCCAAACAGGATGATAAGCTCATTCATAGTATCCTTCGAGAATCAAAAATGATATCTTAAAAAACTCATAGCAATTCTATAGAAGTGCTTAAGGTTGCACGCTTGAGTACATACAATGGTAGAGTGGAAGTAAGCTCAATGATAAGATCCCATGCCACGAATATGATACCTAATCTACTTTGCGATCTAGAGAAGAAGCTAATATAGAGAAACAACCTGAAGGAGCCATTTAGTTGCCAATTTGAGCTAAATCATCTAGGACATTCTGAAGTCTAAAGGAACATTTAATTGTTAGATTTAGAGAGAAGTTTTGACAAGTGAGCGTTAAGAAGTTGCGAGGCCTTGAAATTTATTCGTAGGACATCTGACGATACTCACCGGGCATTTCAATTAGAGATAAAGTCTGGCGATCAATCATCACATCTTCATTGATGCATTGAGGGAGGAAATTATGCTGACAATGCAAGGATTGTGGGTTCATGGCCACGTAGAAAATCGAAGAAGTGTAGTGATTGTTAAAGATAGCTAATCTGGCGAAATACATGTTTTAAGAATCCCAAGCAAATGTCCACGCATCTCAATGAAGTTAATCCGACGCTACGTGCTCAGGGAGTTTGAGACATCTGCACTTCCCTTCCTCTTCGGCCTCATGGATGTGATACAGCTCACAATACTGATTCTCGGAATCCAAGAAAGTATTTCTCAAGCCTGCCCTCGGATCCTTAGCGAAAGCAATGAACACTTCAAACAGGAAGTCTGCGCAGAGATCCTCTGGCTTGCAGGCCATGTGCTTAACAACAGTCCAATTTTTCAAAGTAGAGTTGACGACAAAAAGACGAAGCTTTGATGCTGCTGGGGAGTTTTTGAAAATTGAAGTTATATCGCATGGCAAGAAAAAATGGTCGTTGGTGATGATTTCATAAACCAAAGAATCAATGAGATCGTTCTGGAGTCGTGGCATCAAATATTTTTCGGCCAAATGGTAGACACCAGCAAGCCCTATCATTGGCACTCCCATACCATCATGCGGATAGACAATTTCATTGTTGTAGATCCAATAGACCAATGGCGCAAGATATCTTGGGTCGTCTTCGGGTAGCTCCATGATGGCATCTCCTCCCTTTTGCCACTCAGGTTTGAAGCCAGCCTCAAAAAAGGGACTTGCTGCACGAAGAATATCCTTGTGAACAATAAACGTCTTGGTTTCATCTTTGGGTCCAACAATCAATTTCACAGTTTCGGAAAATGATCTGCAGTCGGAAGTTAGTATGTATAACAAGTTATAAATTGTGATTTGAGAAAACTCACGCAAGCAAACGAGTCTTTTTGTAGGGGCGCATGTCAACCCCATTACTTCTTCTCTTGGCAGTAGAACCATTCTCAACGGCCTCAGTTGGTTCAACAGGTTTGGTGTTGACAGTCTGAAAGCTCAATGTCAGCTTTGAAGGCACTGAATAAAAAGCTCAATGCTTACTATGGAATCTGCGGGTTTGGAAACCTTCTCAACGTCACCAAAAACAGAATTGTTACGAGTTGGAGTCAACTTGAAACCTTCATGTCAGCTTTAATTCCATCGAATGAAATCATCAACACTCACTCTGGGTGTGTTTGGCAAAGTTGAGCCATTTCCAGCAGGACGAGATAATTTAAGAACTGGCGGCGTTGCATTTCTGCTAGCAGATCTGCTTCCAATTCTACTTGGTGGAGGCATATTCATTGTATCATCGGGAAGATCCAATGAATCAGAACGATGCATAATTTGAATGATAAAATACCATACAAATATTCGAGAGATGAAATTTGTAGATTGGACGATAATGGATGAATAAGTGATAATAGAGATGGAGTGATAGATGATGAATAGAAAACGGAAGAGATGAAAATTAGATATGAAAACCTCCCATGGTCAATAGTGTGGGTAACGATCTGGCGTGACTTCTAAATTCAAAGTGGAAAGTGAAGTCGAAGATGGAAGGAACGTCTGGGTCACTCATGTGACCTTATATACCGTCAGAAAATAATAGAAACCTACCGCCTATTTTTCAAGTAAAGACGTATTAATGAAATTGTGGATGTTGAAGATAGATTTATATAATTAACCACTTATCAGTGACATGAAGTAGCATGAGAGGATTAACTCGCGCCCGTTTTTCATAATTCCTGTCCCCAGCAGGTGTGAATGTCTTGACTTGAGCTATATAGTATCTCTTGTATGTATTGTGTGCGATGAAGGACCGCTGACTTCAACAGGAAGCACTTCTGCTAATCAAAGATTCTAGCCCAACTATTTGATTTACACCCTCACGCTCTCAAGTAATCTCTGTTCTACCCCCTCTAATGTACTCTTGTGAGCCAAGACAGATAGATTTTCAGCCTCGCCTTGGAATTGCTTGTCGGGGTCTACACCTGGTCCAAACATTTGTGCACCTGCTCCTGGACCCATTTGACCCATTTGTTGGGCCATTTGACTTGCGGCTATGTTTACTTAGTATTGCCTCTCATCATCACACTTAGAGAGGATTGACATACCATTATCGCTTCCCAATAGATAGTTGAATACAGATTGTAATCCAAAGATACAAAGAACATACCACGAAATGGAAGACATCCATTGTGGATCCATATCTCTGGTAGCTACTCCAGCTTGCAACATACTCTTGAACTTAATCGTCAATGGAAATGGCAATTTGACTACACGTCTCATATTAGTACATCCAGCGACTCATATTTCCAGCAAGCAACTCACTAATAACGAATCCACTAAAGAAGGCATTGATCCATCCCATAATTAAAGTCTGTGGGATCATCATAGACATATTTCCCTTCATCATGCCCATCATTCCCTCCATAGCCGCTGGATCAGTCATTGGATTTGGAGCTGCTTGTCCCTTCTTCTCTGGCTCCTTCAAGAACTTTCCTTCCTCAAAAGCTTGTACGATACAATCTCTGCGTGGTTGGAAAGAGGCGGGAGTGAGAACATGAGCGTTATTGCGAAGGTTGATACCTCGAAGTAAGGATCGTTGTTCGCGAATAGCTGGAAGCTCTTGCTTTTTAGGAGTAGTGGCCATAAGAACGGTAGCATAGTGACGAAGGATACCAGTCAAGATCTGAATAATGAGTTAGAGCGGCAGATCAAATATCAGAATGGTAAGAAATAAATACCATAACAATGGTAATAGGTATCAAGATCCAGTAGCTACATGTTCATCAGCTCAATCCAACATGGAAAATGGCGATTTACTCACAATAACTGAGGATCCCTATGGATCGTCTGCACAGGAACCTGGGCCATCTTTGCAATATCTTCCTAATCAATTTTGTTGGAGAAGATTAAGTATGAGGGGTTGTCGCGAGTTGAATTCTATCTAGGTCTGTGGTTGAATCTGACATCAAATGTGGCTTTCACGCTAACCTCGGACCCTTGCGAGTAGAGCTTCATCAAGACACGGTCTCTTTGTGTACATTGCGACAACAGCTTTCCCCTCCACGTAATTCTGCAAAAGAACGAAAACAATCATGGCTTCAGAAAGGATATCTGTGCATTCTCTCCCTGGTCAGTATATACATCTAATTACAGGAGTGTTCAAATATTACAATACTAACAATCAATTCTAGATCTCAAAAACACCTCCGACGATGCTCTCCCCACCTACCTAAACTCCCTCAAATTCACCCAGTCACATACTCTCTCCGATGCTCGTCTGGCAATTGGTTATACATCTGTCTTAGTCTGCGGTGCCTGTTTCTACTGGGACTACACCTATGGTTTTGAGCCTACAAAGTCCTATACAGCAATTGCAGTTGGAATCTACTTTATCCTCAATACCTTCCTTACATTCTGGTTATTCTATGTCGAGAAAGGAATTATATATATCGGCACATCTCCAGACAAGAAACACATCCTCGAAATCTCTACTCAAACTAAAAAGCATCAACCAATCTATAACTTAACATTTAAGATTTATGAAGCGGCCAAAGGTAGATCTGGACAACCAAAGGAGGAGAGAACCTTGAGAAAACCTTTCAGAGAATGGTTTGATGTAAAAGGTCATTTCATTGTGCAGCCATTTCAGGAGATTTTGGCGAGTAATATCTCAGTGATTGGAGCTGTCGATCAAAAGAGAGTAGTTAAGGATGAGAAAAAGGTTGAGCAAGAAGGCCAAGCAGATCTGAGTATGGATGACAAATGGGCAGCGTTATTGAAGGAGAGTAGTGGTGATGTTGAGACTTCTGGAGCAGAAAAGGCAGCTGGAGGAAAGAAGAGAAGTAAGAAGATTTGAGAGGGTTGCAACATGGAACGATGAGTGAAAAAAGGGTTTGATATCATCAGTTATGGAGTTTGGTGGGACTTGTAGAAGTCAAGGGCATTTTTGGCTGGGACGCGGAGTATGAGAAGAGTATCATATCTAACAAAATATTGCCAAGCTTATTCTTTCTATGTATTTGATTCCCCAACTTTATGCCCTTATATTCAAATGCATTATGAACCGTTCGTCATCAATCTATTATATCAATCCCTTCACTCTATCTTTCATACCTTCCTCCCTGAAACTTACTTCTTTTCCTTCACTATGAGTGCTTATACCATTCATAGATTTGGAACTCCTCTTATTCGCCCCCTTCTGCTCTGTTTCTTTCTTGAATAGGGTCTCAACAGTCCTCAAATCGCAGCCCATCTCGTCTTCACAAGATAGACTGTTGACTGATACTCGCCCATCTTTGAGTACTCGGGGGTCATCGCAAGCACATGATCTTCTAATTTCACAGCCTTTTCTCTCTCGAGCGGTGTGATCCTTTCTATCCTCCGAAGATTCTCCAATATTTCTTTAACTCATCTTCGCCCGTCTTCCACTTTTCCTTGAGCTCCACGTCCACCCACTACCTGAATACCACTTCCCATGCTTTATCGGTCTCCGCTTCAGCTCACTCGAGATAGGGTTTCAATACTTGGAAATTACGAGCTTGAGAGCTGTCCTTCCATGTCATTTGAAGGTAAAGAGGACAAATCGACTCCTTTCCTTGGATCATGGCGGTGGCTTAAAATTTACTAGAATGAATTGCGCCTTATGTCATATGGCATGAGGTATGAAATATAGGGTATAGGCTATAAAATTCTTAAAGAGATACATACCTCTCAAGATCGGATCTAGACTATTTTGCTTTAGTCCATGAGGAACTCGTCCCCGCATCCATAGACGTTTAAGCCCTCCGATGGCTCAAGACTGCTCCTCTTTTGTTTCATATTGTCTGTCAAAGTCTGAGCAGTCCCGTGCCTTTCTTACTGCAGTTTTATGTCTATGTAAAAGTCATACGGGTGTCCAGTAATTGGTCAATATCAGATCGTTCTCCTTTCTTTCTTTCTTGAGCATTCTGACATCATCTTTTCTTATATCACTCCCTATTTGCTTTTCGCTGTCATGAAGATATCATCTTTGCCGATATGTCCCTGACCTCGAAAGTTGCATTTCTATCAATGTCTTTGTTTTCTCTCTAACATTTGGCGCCTGGCGTCATCTGTCTTTTGTTTACAGTTCTTTTTGTTCTGTAAACAGAAGCAGGGCCAGGGCCATTCTCGTCTGTATATGCAATTCAAATTCCTCTTGTTATTTTGATATGTAGACGTTTCTATGCAAGTTTTTTGGATGAGTTTTTGGGAAAATGAAATGTGGCCTCTGGGTGGGCATAGAGTCTAGTGACTTAGTCCCGTCGCTAAATCCGCTAGGGGGGTTCTATCAGATTGACTGGGCCAAGATTCAACGTCTTCTAGACTTTCCCGGGCTCGATCACCACTTGACAAACCAGGCTTTCTGCAAATCATTTGACGAGATCAAGCTCTCGTTCACTACATTGGCTTTAGTAATTGTCGATCGACTTCTAGTTGAGCCTCATTCAATCTTTATTGGCTAGAGGAAATTTGGTCATCTCTGTATCTCTTAGGGGATAATTTTCATTAGTACTCAATGCTAGTTTACCTAGGAGAAAAAAATCTTTTGAACACTTTCGCAAGAATACTTTTTATCATATTTCATTCCAACTTTCTATACATCGTTGTGACATTACCAATATCTCAACATTCAGCAGAATGAATAATCCCAGCATTCCTCCTTCATATTCCTCTATCATGACGTCTCACAGTCCCTCTACTGTCCAGGTTTCACCATCCTATGGTCATTCGATGCATTCAATACCTCCCTCAAAAAAGTCTGCAGGAAGAAAGATGGGCATCCTTAGGGCCGACTCTGGAATCGCCATCAAACCGGATACAAAAAACGCAATCCCAAACCCAGATCAACTCAACAGCTCATCCAGCGCGCCCCCAAAAGAAGACCCAACCGACATCACCCCTACCGATACTCCTGATGTCACATCCACCTTCAACATGAACGATATAACCAACTTGATCTCAAAACTCGATCAACTCAACACTCATTTCCGCGCCATTCTTACACCAATTCCAGGTACTCCCATAGCCTATCTCGATGATTCCACCTCCACTTGTGAGCTCTCTACAGGGGACAACCCCCCATCTACTTTTGTAGGGGAAAACGAACAAGAAGACCCCTTTGATGCTTTTGCCGATACTACTGGAGCCACAGTCGCGAATGGTATGAGCGGCACAATCTCAAAGATAGATCAAATCCTCGAGCAAATCAGCGTTATCCGCCATATTACCTCTAGCATGTCGTCATCTCTTGACGACTTTCTTCTCAAAGATTCTATCATTCCAGAAAGTAACATAGAAAAAGGAAAAGGAAAAGGAAAAGAAGGAGAGAGAGAACAAACTCCCGTCCCCCCACCATCTCCCCCAATCTCCCCTCCGCCTCCCATCCTCCCTCTTCTCCACCCGCAGAACACATCGAGCACGGCGTGCTAACATTCAAATTGGTCGATAAACTCTCACCTATACAAGAATTACGTTTTCAATCAAGGACCATCTCTGAACGTCTGCGCCGCACAAACCGTCGCATGAAAAAAAGAAAGGAAAAGGAAGAACAAACTCCCATCACTTCCAATCTCCTCTCAGCCCCCTTTCCCCTCGCTTCCCCATCCCTAGAACAAACTCCCACCCAGCCCACCACTCCCATCATCTCCTCCGATTTTCCCCCCTCTTCCCCATCCCCAGAACGTATCCATCGCCACGCGCGAACACTGCAATGGATCTCTGAACTCGCACTTCCACAGAAATCAAGTCATACGGGTTATCGAGCACTCGCCATTTTGTTATTTCTGCAACGCAAAATCAGTCTTATGAAAGAACAGTCGAAAGACGGGTCCTCGCTCACTCCGACTTCCGATGTGTTAGATCCCTATTATTGGACCCTGAGGGATGCGATTACGTTCGCGTGTCCTTTGTCTTCTGGTATGTTTTCTCTCCTTTTGTTTTCTGATATGGTTTAAATATCCCGTGGGGATATATATATATACATATACATACATAATAAAAAAAGAATATACACTAACCCAATCCTCTCCTCTCACAGAACCCGTCGAAAATCCCATCTCCGCATCGCCGAAAGAAAAACACCCCACCCATCCTCACCCCCCAAAAGAAGAAGCAGAACCAATTTTAGCAGGACCATATAGCGAGCCCTCGATGTCCAGACCCTCGACATCCAAACCCTGGATATGCAGACCCTCGAAAAGAGAAGCATCTAGAAATTCTGAACAGGTTGAAGGATTGGAAGGAGAGAAAGAAGGAGAAGAAGGAAAAGGGGAGGGGGAGAAAAAAGGTAAATTAGTAATTACGCGAATGGTGGTTTTTCGTCCGGGGCAGTCTATGGAGAGTGTATTGGAGAGTATTCGTGCGGAGGAGAAGGAGAAGGAGAAGAAGAAGAAGAACCAACAAATCTCATAAACCCACCACCCAACCGCCCCGCCCCGAAAACCAAAACCAAAACCAAAACCAAACTCAAGACTAAACCCAAAACCAAGAACAGCGATACAGATACAATCCCCCCAGCCCAGAAACCCAAATCAAAACCCAAATCAAAATCAAAATCAAAATCAAAATCAAAATCAAAATCAAAATCAAAATCAAAATCAAAATCAAAATCAAAATCAAAATCAAAATCAAAATCAAAATCAAAATCAAAATCCGCGGATCAGGAAAAGAAAGAGAAAGAGGAAGAATAAGGAGAATGAAAAATACAGAATGAAAAATACAGAATGACTAGATAAAGACGTGAAGGACAGAGAATAGCAAACGAAGAGGGTTATATATTATATTTATTACATTACATTACATCCACGGTGTACATGACATTACATTACGTTATATAAAGAAGAAGAAGAAGAAGAAGAAGAAGAAGAGCAATAACAAGAATAAGAATAGAAATGAAGATATCGATAATTACCTACTCACTCACTCACTCACTCACTTACTCATCTTCTTCTCTTCTCTTCTCTTCTTTTCTCTTCTCTTCTTTTCTCCTTTCTTCTCCTCTCCTCTCCTCTATCCTATTTTCTACCCCCAAAGTAAAGATAAGTATCTGTGATATTTAAAAATCCAAATCCAATTTAACATTTAAAGTTTAAAGGCCAATATAGAATATATATATAGATTACATTATAACTAAACACACACACAAAAAGTAAGATATAAATATAACATAAATATCTCATTCATTATTATCTAGGTAATCAAAGAAGTGATGGATGTAATTCATCTACATCCACCCTCCTTTCATCCCTAATATCCACTTAATCCACTAATCCACTTCCCAGTTTTCTCTCTTCACTTTTTCCCAAAGTCCCGTCCATCAAAAGCACGAAACTTTATCTCTAATCAAGATATGTTATTTTTTATCCCAATAAGATGATTGATCCTCCACATATGCTCTTTTCTTCCCATTTAACTTCACGTCTCCTCATCTCCCATCTTGTTCATCTCTATCCCTTTGCTCATCCCGCTCCCGTAACTCCTACCCCTCCATTCTGCGGCGGTCTCCCTGGTCCCCACCCACCATTAGAATTTCTATATTCCCTCCTATCCCCCCTTTCCCTATCCCCACTCCTCTCCCCACCATGTCCATGTCCATTACCATTCCCCAAATCCGGCGTCCTAGTCCTTTCCTCTCTATAAATCTGTGGTGGATGTTGTAACTCTGCCCCTTCACCACCCTGCCACTCTCGATTCGGGTTCATGTTCTGATTCCCTTGCCCGCCAACTTGCGCATCCTGCACGTGTCTTACAGAACTTTCCTTCTGCCAAGCATTATTCGCCGGATCAACATCAACTCTCGTGACCACTGGAGCTAACGGTCTTCCATTCCCATCTCTGTGACCTGTCGCTTCAGTTGTTTCGACCGTGTGTCTTACGCCACCGGAAGCACTGATATCGCCATAGCGTTTAAGAATTTCTTTGGTTGTGATATCGGATGTGTTATTGAAGAGGACGGGGTCATTCAGTATTGATTGAAGATCTTCTGGTACCTTTTTATGTTGTTAGTGATAGAAGGAATGAACATAGAAGGAGAAAACTTACTTCACACATTTGCTCGTTACACTCAATGAGTGTGTGAACGACCTCGATTGCAAGGAAGTTATCATCGACAGGAGATTTAGCATTCGTGTATATGATATTCGGTGCGATGACAGTGGCAAGATTATGAGTATCCATCTTTGATCCAGATTCTTCATCAACTTGATGGAAAGATGCAACCCAGTTGAAGAAGGAACAGAGAATTTCCAAACAGTCCCTGTGTACCTTTGGAAGCAAACAACATGTGAGATGTAATACTCGACGCCTCTTATCTTCATCGGCAATCTTTTGCGAAGCGATAAATAAATTGTGGAGCTTGAAGGTCAATAAAGGATCTGGTAAATCTCGAAGATATTTCTTGAGTAGAGCAGCGACTTGTACGACATTTTGTCGACTCAAATCTACAGCATCACACCCTCCGCTATCGATTTCCTTGACAGTTTCATTGAGTTTTCTGATGTTACCATTCTTTCTGAAGACACCCTCAACTGAAAGATCCATCTTTCTCATCGCAGCAATTGCATCATCGACGAGAGCAGGTATCTTGAGAGCTCCAGGACCAACACCATCTGTCGACTCGGCACCATCCTTTTCGACAATAACATCAAGTGGGATTCCGAAGACGCCCTTCTTCTTGACGGCTGTCTTCTTGCCATCATTCTTGAAAGCTTTACCCATCTTACCCCAGAAAGTGGGTTTTCTAGTCTCGATCAGGTTAAGTAGTTCTTCCATAGTAAAGTGGCCATCCAGCATGGGTTGCATGGCGATAACTGCAACATGACGTACGATGAAATATTCCAAAGCGGATAATTCCGAGAAATATTTCTTTCCAGCAACTCTCTGTTGTTGACGTTGTGTTTGTGCATCAAGGTCATTACCGGCAGAAAAAGTCCTTTGGTGACCGTTGATGAGTTTAGGTTCAGTGATAGATGTTCGAAAAAGCTCATGACGGGCATGCTTATATGCGTTTGGTCTTTGTTCCTTTGCTTGTTCAGCAGCTACAATTCTAGGAATATCGTCCAGGGTAAGAGCGTCTTGATGACCGAACATTAATTCAGTTCTCGATTCGCCGTTACCGTCACGGTCTTCAACTACTTGAAACTCGTTGTTTCTCGAATTCGATCCATCAGCACCTGCAGAACCTGGCCTCTTACTATCGACACCATCCATAATACGCGAAGTTCTCGCTTTTTTAATGGTAGAAGACAGATGTTTGTCCATCCGAGTACTTCGTAGTCGCCTTACGTCATTCAAGGTATTTTCGTAGGATGATTCACGTGGGTTTTCATCAACTGGACCACCGAATGATTTCGAACGAGCTTCGGACCTCAACATAGGAGGGTCGTCATCCGAGGGTACTTTGTGCCCCTCACTCGAGTTGTAACCATTAAGGTTGGGGTCATCCGAAGTATGTGGCAGAGTACCTTTGGTACGTAATATTTCCAGTAATCGAGCTAAAGCAACTCTCAGAAGGAAGACATACTGTTGTAACCTCGTCACTCGCACGAATCCTGATACCACGTCCGAAGACTGACTTTGACAATTACTACAGTATACCCGTTGTTCTACATCATCAAACCTGATGTCCTCGAGGTTCTGAGCAAGATCTCGCTCACAATTCGAGCATTGCAGGCATGCTAAATGGCATCTCCTTTCTTCGAAGCGAGCACATTCATCCTCGATTGGCTTTTGACATTTGATGCATGAATCCGAATTAGGAGCTGAAAGTCCAGGTGTTCCCGTGGTAGCTTCTAACGATCTGTCATCATTCTTGATCGCATCCATATCGCCCAAGTCATCGAGGAATTGGTGAAGGCCTTCTGGATCCTTTTGATCTCGTTCGACCTTTAATGCGCCTTGAAGACAGATGCGAATCAATAATTTTAGGTAGTGAGCCAAACCAGTAACCAAGGCAAGAAGTTCTTGTGTGACGCCAAGTTTTCGAACTCCTGTCTCCTGAGTTTTGGACAGGAGTGAGAAGAATGCTACGATTTTCTTGCATAATAGTTTTGCTTCGCGCGAATATGATAGCCCTAACAAGATCAGTAAAAGCAGTGAGGACGTAGATTATTGAAATACTAACCCTTTGAACCATCTCTCGTCATTATGCCATCCAATTTATCTGCAGAACAAAATAGGATATCAACGTGCCATATGAACTTCTTTGCCACCATCACACCATCCATATATGCACCGTTACTAACGTGCAGAAGCATGTCGGATATACAAGCCGCGGAGGATTCTTCGAATGTCGATAGTACACTCCAGATCTTGTAGACCTTTTCTTCCATTCTTTCCTCTTCTAATCGCACATTATTTCGACCTTCCTCATTCGTCGTATCTTCAGATTCCTGTTGAATTTCTTGTACATCCTGCGGGGATGCCAACCTAACATTCCAGAATTTGTGGATCATATAACATTCAGGATGCCAATGTTGATTTTGACCATTGCGAAATATCTCGACGAATTGTTTCAAGATTGCTGTTTGGCATCCATTACATCGTTGCGCGAATCGTGTCGAATAATGGTAGTGGCAGTAAACTTGTCCATCGTGCTCGTAGTAACTATCTTGTGCGCCGAACACTGTTGGACATACTGAACAAGTGAAATGATCGATATGGTATTTGCGCTCGAGGGCGGTGATATATGATCCTCGTAGTGCACCATTACATTGGTGGCATATCAAATCTAAGCGCCGGAAGTAATCAGTTTCGCAGAGGGGGTATTGTCCTTCGCCATCTTCTTCATCTACGGGAAAGAACTTGGATGCGACTATTTGACCGCAATCCTACAAGATCCAAGTCAGAAATTGAACGTCGTCAAGATGATGGCGAAATGGGAATGACTTACTCGACATCTAAAACAATCCAAATGGAATGTACCTCCAAGCGCACGTACGAATTGACCTGTCAAAGGTTCACCGCACTTTTTACACAATCTCAGAGATCCGCTGCCAGTCCTCCCAGTTCGCGTTCGTGATCGTGTGCGCTCATTGCTTGGTCTGCGACTCCCCTCTCTCATAGGACCTTCTCTACCACTCACACTGTTTGCCGGAGATGCATTCATCCTCCTATCTGGGCCATTAGGCCTCGGTAGATGTTGATCTTGCATTGTGATATCCCTCTCAGTTGTAAGTCTTCCCCCATCATCGGAATGTGAAGGATCATAATTTTCGCCTTCGGCATAGGGGCCTGCCTCTGATTGAGGACCCATTATTTGATGATCAACGTTTATTACCCACAACTATCTCCAGACCTTGTTCGAGCCCCCTATTATATTGTAATTTGGAAGTAATGCTTAAACCGAGTACTTCGAGTCGCGGTGGCCAGGGTGAATGATTGAAATGGAAATCGTTGATGATAGATAATTCGTCTTCGGCCTTGCAGATTGATTGAATCTCGTATGGTTCGTATCTTCTCTATGGAGAGTTGCTTGAAATTCTGACGTTGTCGAGTCGCAAGGGTTCCACTCAATTGACCTCCGCATGTGTTGGCGACTCAAAGTTCAAGGAACATTCAGCCTGCAGAACATGAAACAATAACCATCGATTGAATTAAGAAGAAGCCAAAAAATGTTAATCTCGCGACCTTTTTTCTTTTTTTCCCCCTTTTTGATCCCCGAATATTCCAAATTGTGATTTATCTTATATCT